ATCTCTGCTCTACCATCTACCGGTGACACAAACCTGAGCAGACTATTTATTCCCCCTGTCAAGACAAAGCCAATGAGGCTCCAGAGGGTAAACAGTAATCATGTGAGAACAGGTGTTGTAAAGTGTCTGTATCTAACAAAGCATCTATCCCACTGTAAATGTCAGCAACCCTCCTCGCCCAGTTCCTCAGTTCCCTTCATCATGTTGAAATCAATGCAGCTGCTCTTACTGATCATGGGAATTAATTCTGAGCTCTCTGGCAACAAAAGCAGAAAAGGAAATGTGATGTCAGAACAGTTATTAAAAGGAAAATTCTTACCAGTTCTTCTGGTAAGGTATTTTTCCCTAAAAATACATATTTTTTAAACCACTCCCTAATGATTCCTTATACTGGGGATATAATGCAATATTAAAGAACAATAATTACTCTTCATTAGAAGGATCCTTCCCATAACAGCAATGGAAACAGTTTTTCATACTTATTTCTTTATATCGAATTGTTACAGAAACTGAGTGTGCAGCAGTAAGCCAAAACATGTGACTGTGCAGGAACAGGCTAATGTGGTCCTCGAACCAAGCTTCCAGACCTAAATGGATTACCCATGATGTCAGGGTGGAAGCAAGCAGGGTGAAGGTGGTAACACTGCACGCCTTGACACACACATTGTTAAGTGTGTCAAGCAACACCAGGGTCAAAACAGACACAGAGAGTTTAACAACTGAGACCCCCCCCCACTATTGCAGGGTACAAGGTGACCCAGGTGCACACACTAATTACATACACACAATTAAATACTGAACAAATAGATTTCCGTGTACAAAGGACTAAATTGCTAATTATGTGGGCAGAAAAGGGCAGGTCAGGGAACCTGCGATTTGGGGATCTATTTTACCTCTTCCAATCACTGGAGAATGCTTGACAAAAGAGGCAAAATTTCAAATCGTTAGGTAAGAAATAACCTCACCCAGTTTGGAAAGAGAGGAGACAAGTTAAAGTTCATTTTTCCGAAGGGCTTTGAACCCCCCTGCTTGTTTTGAGCAAACCTGGGTAGGATCTACATTACAATACAAACTCCACAATGCATACTACCATGATGAACAGGTATGTGAAACAGTGATCTGCAAACCTATCTTGAAAATATTTGCAACAAGCATTTTTAAAAGCAAATATTATATGTAATACCAATACCAAAATAAAATAGTTAATAACAGAGTTGTAAACAGGTCTCAGCACAGTCTACCCAGCAGGGCACTGGTTAACTCTTCACAATGCCCTGAAAAGCTGGCCTGCTAAGGGCCCAACAAAGCAGTCTGAGAACCATTAGTCTCAGGCTTAAGTGACTCCCAGACATTCTATACCAGAATAGTGATGGTCTCCATATATTTAAGAGTAAACTTCATAATCCTTAGTTATTTTTAAAATATATATCCTATGTATTATATATAAATATATACATATATTTAAAGTAGAAGATAAAAACCAAAGAAAAGCATTTACTAATATTTTATTAAAGATTCAAAATTCTCTTTGGTCCTCAGTGAGAAAGCAATGGGATCGAAAATCTTTTATTATTATTAATAATAATCTATTATTTTGTTTTACATTTAGGGACAAAACAATTGATTCTAAATTGTTTTGACACTTGATCAAATCGCTATAATGGATAAAAAAAGATATTTTGCAAAGGTAGATCAAAAACTGCATCTATCTACAGCATTTATTAATCATAATGCCAATTTTTAACCATCCTGATTATGAAAAAGGATTTTGTAAAAAAATTGACCAATACATTACCATCACCCCGGCCATCAATTGCTTGTTCATGAAAACTTATCAGAAAGCATGGCATTTTTTAAATTGTAAAAAGAGTGTTTAAAACAAGCCAGTCAGGGTAAGTTAGTTCCTCAACATTAAAAATCACCTTTACTTTGAAGGACTAGAAATGTGGTAATGTGCCATCATAAAAAAGGGTCAGCAAGTTTGGAACAAATTTATTTTGGTAAAAGAAAGGTGTGCTATTTTGCATGAAGTAGCCCATATTCCTCCTCTGTGTACTTCAAAAGATTTTCATGATCATTCTTCTTCTCATTACAAGGTATTATAAAGATTCTACTGCAACTTGCTTAACCACCCTGATGGCTTGGTTACCTGACATTGTAACCACAGAGTGTATAACAGAAACAGGAATGCTTCCCAATGAACTGAAAGCACAGTCACCAGCATCAGTGAAGCAGGTTTCTGTCCATACACTAATGTCTGATGCTGTATACCCCCCAAATACTCACAGCAGTGCACTCAGGTACTCAAGATAGCAACAACACATAGCTATTGTGCACCACGGCACCAGGCGAGCAGCAGCAGACTGAGAGAAGCTCTGCAGAGTATTTTACGTTTGAGAGTTACATGGTCATAGCAGCTCATAAGTTCAACTTCTACATTAGACAACACATCCCTTTCAGGACATCCCATCTTTGCAAAGCTTGGTTTTCAGCAATTGCTGTGATAAAAGTCAAGGACCCAGCTGACAGTCAATATGTGAAAGGAAGTGAGGTGGCAGTTTGAGACTCTGAGCAGTGCCCAACAGGTATCCCTATCTCATTGTAAATAATTAGGGATATTTAAGAATAAAATAAAAATGCCCATTCTTTCAATTTACTTGTACTGTGTTTTCAAACACTATTCAGTTGTTAGGACAAAAAAACACTTAAATTGTTTGGACCTAATTATTTAATAACAGAACTGTTAGGTATTGCTAGAATCATTAAGAAAAAGCTACTCAGGCCAGGGAACTGAGTATCCAATTATGATGGCAGATGAGTAGAAATACACAGCAGAGCCGCACCCAATTCCAACTTTGCATCAAGCCCCAAGCACCCCTCTATGACACGATGGGAACAATGCTTAAGGGGGCCCCAGCTTCAAGATCCCAGGAGCCTGCTTGTCCCTTCATAAGGGTTTGGGTCTCTCCTCCACTCTGGGTACTCCTATTCAACCTGAGGGGTCCAAGCCCTTGAGAAACCCACAGCTTTGCTGCTTGATGCCAAGTACTAGGCTAGGTACCAAAAGGAAAAAATGAAGTGCTAGTTCCACTGATGTTCAAAATGCAGATGCTAAAGTGGCTGAGTCATTTGACCAAATAAGCAGGTATGAGTTACTGCAAAAATCTCTTAATTCAAACTCCACAAATATCGCGGCAGGTATCAATAATTTAAATGGCCATTTCATATCTTTCTTAATTTTTTTGGAATATAAAATATTTGTGCCTTGTTTACAAAACCACGCTATCCCTGAGAAGTTGTTTGGTGACTAAACAGTTAAATGCTCTAACAAAATTATTTGGGCCTTCTTTGGAAAGTTGAAGAATCGTTCCTAAGTTTCAGATAATAATTTGTTTAAAGTATAGCATACTTCTGCATTTATGAGGTCTCAACAATTCACCATTCCAACTATTTCCAGTGCCTTTTCAGCATGGTGTAAGACACCAACACCATAGGTAGCCCACCTTCTCCACTGAGGTGTTTATTCCTTTGACAGTTTCTTTCTACTAAGTAAAAAGAGCTATTACTCTAGCATGCATGAATCTTAAATCCACATGGTACACTCTTTTGCTATGGTAACAAAAATTATTACCAATCAGGAGCTGGAAACTCTCTTTCTCATTTAATTGCATAAATTGACCCAATGACAATCAGCTCATTCAGTTACATGACACCCTATCACTATCACCACCACCATGTCCTTACTTCCCGAGTGATCATTCACCCCAGCATTCAAACTCAAAGTAGCATTTTATTTTGGAAACAACTAGTATACATTAGGTTGCAATAGGAACACAAGCTGATTAAGTCTAAAAACAAAATACTACCACTATTATTGGTAGAAAATGCCTACACACAACAACTCCTGAACATTGGTACAGACATTAACAGAAAAGATGGGACAAAGATTATTGTAATTTATTCTAAAATGATTATTTAGTAACATTCTCCATTAAAACCAAGCAGTGGGAATTGAGAGGGCACTCTGGTTTAATAAGAATATATTTTCCTTCAAAACATTAAACTTTTTTTTAAAGACTTCAAGTGAAAGGAGCGAAGGGCACTGGTAGAGAAAGGAGGGAAGTTACTGAGGGAATCATATACCAGAGACACTGAGGAGCAGGAAGACAGTGTCAGTTTGGGTTTGTAAACGGCTATTACATGAATTAGAAATATGTTATTTGATACAGAAAAAGTGAAGATCAAGAGCAGAAAATCCCCGGTAAAACACTGTTTCCTCTGTAACTGGTACCATGATTTAACTCACTGTATGTCCTGGAGGTACAGATAAAATCTGCTAAGATAATGCAATTAATTCATCTTTGGGGATGTATAATAGAACATTTATTCACCAGCATACAATTTGTTCAAAGGATTTTATTTCTTGCCATGGCTGTTCTCCCTGACCACTAAGCCAGCAATGTGGAAATGTGCCCATCCCATCTCACCCTTGTCCCCATTCCAAGCTTGCTCTCCAAATGTACCATTCTCACTCCCTAGTGTCAGGCCTAGGGGCTCAGCACACTGTCAGAAACAGCCTCTGTTCAGGGACACAATGGAGTTTCTTCCTGGCTCTCTCCTGTTGCATGGTTTAAAATTACTGAGAGTGAAGTTTCTACAGACTTTACTAACCACCTATATGATACATGTGACTTTTTTTAAATTAATTACTCTGAAATCCATCTGTTTAAAGAAAGCTTCCTAGCCAAACAAATTAGGTTTTTCACTAGGAACAAGTAACAGCATTCTTTTAACCATTAAAATTTAGAGGCAACTAGAAAACTAAAAAAACATGGGAGGCTGGCCCACAAGACCTTCTTTAGAGTGATATTGAAGACTGGGTGAGTGGCTTTCTGAGTAGAAAAACACAAACTGTAAAAGGAGAGGAAGGTGGAGTTGAGTATTTGAGGATATAGATACCTTTTCACCCTTATAGATATAAACATGACTTGAAAACTTACTTGCCAATATTTTCGGGCAGGGACTGCAATGAGATGTCATTTACAGAAAGACATGTCAAATTCTGTAATTCAGGAAAACTTTCTGGTAATCTGAAAAAAAAAGTTATTTGAAAAATGCATATACAGTGCATGATGATGTCTTCTGTATGCTAACTGAAATAAACCTCTAAACATTCTATGATATATGGCATGCCTGCCCTGTCTTCCTAAATATAGCATTATAAGGGAAAAAACAAGAACTTTGTCTACCTAAAAAACACAGGAGATGATAAATACATGTTATAGGGTGATCCAGAAATAATTAAATGGTGAAAGTATGAAAGCTAAAGGGTGAAAAATGTGAATCTGAGTGCGCTATAAAAAAAAATAATAATAGCTGCTGCAGCTAAAAGTGCCTAAAAGAGAAAATACTTCATTGATTAGCAGAAAATGAAGAGAAATTTTAGCCCACAAGATTGTAAGAAAACACAAGACAGCTGCTCAATAATTTATCCCCCAGAGTAAAAGCTATGGATTTGTGAGACTTGAGCAGCTGACAACCAAGTGCTACTTCCATAACATTTTTTACCTCCATTTAAGATGCCAATCATTTGAGATAATTACATGTTTTGATATGTTCTACAGAAAAAGAAAATTTTAGACTTCCCTTAAACTCTACAGAACAGCAAAGTTCCAAAATAAAATAATTCTTATAAAACATATAAAGAAAGTTTACTTTCAATATTTCTATGGTTACCAGTATTAAGGAGAGAAACAAACTACTGAAGTCAAAAAGCCCTAAATGCATCTAAAATGCTGAAGGTCGTTCTACGGAAACCAGCTAATAAAGATGACAGAACATGTAACTCATTTTCTCATGGTGGAGGTTGGTGGGTGGTGGATTTCTTGCCTTAGTGATAGTCTCTAAATTAAACTCACTACTTCCCTTTTTCTAGGTTCATTTCTTAAAAACAAATCCTAGGTTACTGTTTGACTTTTAACATAGGTAATTCCAAACATCAAGCCAAATCTAAGTCCTACAAGACAAGAGACCCCAGAAAACTGGCATTTTCATAATTACTGAATCTCAGGAAAAGTTTTTACGTAGTTGAAACCTCATCCATAGTTTAACAGATATGAGATATTTTACTTATTAATCAAAAAGTGAGACTTACCTATTCTGCCTGGATTTTTACCAAGAAGTATATACTATTTTATAATCTTAAAACTAGCAAAAATGATCTTAAATATAGAGAAAAATATTTTTGCTTGCTGATTTTGCTTTTTTCTGGCTGTTACGTGATGTGTGATATGATGAGGAAGCACAGACCCAGGTTAGGAGAAAGGAATTCTAGTCTGAGCTGCCACTCAGAGGTTGCACGATTGAGAAGTCATTTAATTTCTCTGAGTCTCAGTTTCTTCAGCCATAAAATAAGTCATTAAATAACTTTAAAGGTCCCTTCAACTCACAGCTACTATCTGAATTCTTTTTTTAAAGATTTATTTAGTTATGCATATAAAAGCTGGGGTACAGGCCAGAGATGTGGGGGGTGAGAGGATTCACCAGAGATAGAATGGGGAACAGGGCAGATTGACTGAAGAACACTGCTGAGGGGTGCAGCGGGTGAGACAGGAGAGGTCTGCTGCGCCATGTGGTTTCTCCCTGGCCAGCTGGGGATTGAACTTGTGCTGCAGAGGCTGCAGATTGCTCCATATTGCGGTGCTTAACCCGCTGCACCACCAGGGAGGCCAATACTGTCTAAATTCTGAAAAGAGTGCACCTGCCAAATTAAAATGGCTTTCCTTTAAGAAACTTGCCAAACATGAGTCCAGGGCAAAAACCAGACAAGGCCTCATACAATGTGGGTGTCTTCTAGTCAAGAGTTTTGAGACAATGGTAAAGCCATCTCAGACATCAGGAAAGGGAGACTAAAGAAGTAGGAAAGGGGATTAAGTAATTGAATAGTTAAAAAAAAAAAAAAACCCTCAAGAACACCATAATGAGTATTTCCCAAGTGTCTAATCCAACAAGTGACCTTAAGTGCAATAAACATTGGCAGAGCAATTACTCCACTGCAGAAATTATAGTAGGGAATACAAGTGAACTTTCTCAACCTAGTTGAAAAGTCTTGGTCAAAGCAGTAACTTAAATGTAAATTTCAAGTGTTGTGGAAGGAAATATGTAGAGTGTTATAGGCTGCGGGGGGGGGGGGAACTACAGGGAGTAACAGGAAAGGCGTCACAAAGAAACATGATGCTCCAGCTGCAAACTGAAAGGAGGGTGAGAGCTGGCACAATCAAGAAAAGAAGGGCATGAAATGATTGACCTACGCGTAATTTATTACAGCAGAGCATGAGGTCTGACATGGGCAACTGAAGGCAATAAAGTGGAAAGACACGTCAAGGTCAGACGGAAGGAGAGGAGGCACGCACAGCACATCAAGGAGCTTACACTTTATTTTATAGGAACAGGAAGCTACATAAATATTGTGGAAAAAAAACTTATAGAAATGATGGTCAAAAAAAAAAAAAAGAAAACTTAAGGATATGGGCAATTCTCAAAGGTATGAGGTGGTATCTCACTGTGATTTTGATGCTCGCAAGGGTGTGGAGAAATCGGAACCTTATTACACCCTGGGTGAGGATATAGGATTGGTCCAGCCCCATGTGTGCAGACTCCTCAAAAGACTAAAAATGGACCACCACATAACCCAGTAATTTCAATCCTAGGTATTTATCCAAGGAGCACAAAAACACTCATTTGAAAGGAACCTGCACTCTTATGTTTATAGCAACACTATTTATAATAGCCAAGATATGGAAACAACCTAAATGCACCAGAACAGATGAATGGATCAAAAAGATATGGTGTATATACACACAATGGATTACTACTCTGTGATAAAAAAGATAAATCCATGGGATTTGCAACAACATGGATGGAACTGAAAGGGATTATTCTATGTGGAGTAAGTCAGGAGAAAGATAAATATACCAGGTGGTTTCGCTTACATATGAAATCTAATGAAACCACACAAAGGATTAGACAAAGAGAAACTCTAAGAGTGACCCCTAAAAGCAGCCTGTAAATCTAAGGCACTCAGGAGGGAGGGGGAAGAGTAGAAAACCAAGGGGAGGAGAGTGCAGGGGTAGAGGCTGTGGGCACTTTGGCAGTGGAGAAACTATACTGACCACGCCTGAGGGGAGAAATCCTGTATCGTGAAAAAATAAGCAAGGATGTTTAAAATTTTTTTAATTAATTTTAAAAAAGACTTGGAGACAGTGATAAGTAAGAAAACTCCTAAGTTAGAGCTTAATACAATTACTATTTTTTCCTAAAAATAAATGTTATTAATTTAATCACTGAAATTCAAAAGAAGAAAACCTAAGTATTTTTTTTTTTTTTTTTATTTTATTTTTTTTTTTTTTTAAATTTTTTATTTATTTATTTACTTTTTTAAGTTTAATTTTTTTTTTTAAATATTAAATTTTATTTTTATATTCCCCCATACAATTGCAAACGCCCCATTCTGACCCCAATCCTTCCCCTCCCGCCCCCCACCCCCAAAAAGTGTCTCTGGTTCATAGTTTTTTGTTGATTTTGATTTTCACTTTCTTATATTGATTTTCCTGGTCCCTTATTTAAGTTTTCTAGATTCCTGCTATGAGTGAGACCATCCGGTATTTTTCTTTTTCTTTTTGGCTTATTTCGCTGAGCATGATCCCTTCCAGTGCCATCCATGTTGCTGCAAATTGCATGTGTTTATCTTTTTTGAATGCTGAGTAATATTCCATGGTATATATGTACCACATCTTCTTGATCCAGTCATCTATTTTTGGGCATTTGGGCTGTTTCCAAAGCTTAGCTATTGTAAACAGTGCTGCTATAAACATAGGAGTGCAGGTGCTCTTTGGAATTGATGTTTCTGTGTCCTTTGGGTAAATACCTAGGAGTGGAATTGCTGGATCATATGGAAGCTCTATGTTTAGTAGGTCCAGAAATCTCCACACAGCTCTCCATAGTGGTTGGACCAGCTTGCACTCCCACCAACAGTGCACAAGAGTTCCTTTTTCTCCACATCCTCGCCAACATTTGTTGTTGCTAGTTTTTTTAATATGTGCCATTCTCACTGGTGTGAGATGGTATCTCATGGTAGTTTTGATTTGCATTTCCCTGATTACAAGTGATGTTGAACATTTTTTCATATGTCTGTTGGCCATTTGCATTTCCTCTTCAGAGAAGTTTCTTTTTAGCTCTTCTGCCCATTTTTTGACTGGATTATTTTCTTTGTTGTTGCTGAGTCTCATCAGCTCTTTGCAGATTTTTGTGATCAGTCCTTTATCATTAGTGTTGGGTGCAAAAATGTTCTCCCAGTTGGTGGGGTTTCTCTTTGTTTTTGTTATTGTCTCTTTTGCTGTGCAGAAGCTCTTTAATTTGATGTAGTCCCAGCTGTTTATCTTTCTCTTCACTATCACTGCTTTGGGTGATGTGTCTGTAAAGATGTCTTTGATATGCAAATCCCGTAGTGTTTCGCCTATATTTCCTTCTATGTATTTTATGGTTTCAGGTCTTATGTCTAGTTCTTTAATCCATTTTGAGTTGATTTTTGTGTATGGTGTGAGGTAGTGGTCAAGCTTCATTCTTTTGCATGTAGCGACCCAGTTTTCCCAGCACCATTTATTGAACAAACTTTCTTTGCTCCAATGCATAGTCTTTGCTCCTTTGTCAAAGATTAGTTGACCATAAATCTGTGGGTTTATTTCTGGATTTTCTATTCGATTCCATTGGTCTGTATGTCTGTTCTTGTTCCAATACCATGCAGTTTTGATGATTATGGCTTTGTAGTATAGTTTGAAGTCTGGGAGTGTGATGCCTCCATTTCCTTCTTTTTTTTTCAGTAGAGCTTTGGCTATTCGGGGTTTTTGGTGATTCCATATGAATTTCATCAATAATTGTTCTATTTCTTTGAAGAATGCCATTGAGATTTTGATTGGAATAGCATTGAATCTGTATATTGCTTTTGGTAGGATGGCCATTTTAATAATGTTTATTCTTCCAATCCATGAGCAGGGGATGTCTTTCCATTTCTTTGTGTCTTCTTCTATTTCTTTTAACAGTGTTTTATAGTTTTCTTTGTATAGGTCCTTTACCTCTTTTGTTAGATTTATTCCCAAATATTTGATTTTTTTTGTTTCGATAATAAAAGGGGTGGTTTTTTTGATTTCTTCTTCTTCAGATTTATTGTTTGTGTATAGGAAGGCTACTGACTTTTGCGTGTTGATTTTGTATCCTGCCACTTTACTGAACTGACTGATGAGTTGAATTAGTTTTTCTGTGGAGATTTTGGGGTTCTCTATGTATATTATCATATCATCTGCAAATAGTGATAGTTTGACTTCTTCTTTTCCTATTTGGATTCCTTGGATGTCTTTCTCTTGTCTTATTGCTCTGGCTAGGACTTCCAGTATTATATTGAAAAGCAGTGGTGAGAGTGGACATCCTTGTCTTGTTCCAGATCTTAATGGAATTGCTTTCAGCTTTTCACCATTGAGAATGATACTGGCTGTTGGCTTGTCATAGATGGCCTTTATGATGTTGAGGTATGTTCCTTGTATCCCAAGAATTTCAAGGGCTTTTATCATGAATGGGTGTTGCACTTTGTCGAAAGCTTTCTCAGCATCTATTGATATTATCATATGGTTTTTATATTTCTTTTTGTTGATGTGTTGGATAACGTTGATTGATTTTCGGATGTTAAACCATCCTTGTGCCCCTGGAATGAATCCAACTTGGTCGTGGTGAATTATCTTATGGATACATTGTTGGATTCTGATAGCTAAAATTTTATTGAGGATTTTTGCATCAGTGTTCATTAGGGAGATTGGCCTATAGTTTTCCTTTTTTGTGTTGTCCTTATTCGGTTTTGGTATTAGTGTAATATTGGCTTCATAGCACGTGTTTGGTATTGTCCCTTCCTTCTCAATTTTTTGGAAGAGTTTGTGAAGGATAGGCACTAATTCGTCTCTGAATGTTTGGTAGAATTCATTTGTAAATCCATCAGGTCCTGGGCTTTTGTTTTTGGGGAGGTTTTTAATTACCATTTCAATTTCGCTGCTTGTAATTGGTCTGTTTAGGTGTTCTATTTCTTCTTTATCTAGCTTTGGGTGATTGTAGAGTTGTAGGAATTTGTCCATCTCCTCTAGATTGTTGAACTTGTTTCCATATAACTGTTCATAGTAGTTACTGATTATTCTTTTGATTTCTGCTGTGTCCGTTGTGATTTCTCCTCTTTCATTTATGATTCTGTGTATTTGTGCTTTCTCCCTTTTTTCCTTTGTGAGCCTGGCTAGGGGTTTGTCTATTTTATTGATTTTTTCAAAGAACCAGCTCTTGGTTTCATTGATCTTTTGGATTGTTTTTTTAGTTTCAATTTCATTTATTTCTGCTTTGGTTTTTATTATTTCTTTTCTTCTACTGGTTCTGGGGTTTTTTTGTTGTTCTTTTTCTAGATCTTTGAGCTTCGAGATTAGAAAACCTAAGTATTTTTACACCAGATTACTCTTTTAAAATAAGCAGATACGAGGAAAACAAAATGAAACAGGGCATTCCCCAGCACTCTATACCCAAGAAGTTCCAAGCAAGTTTGGACCAGAGAGATAAATCTCAAATTTTCATTTAACCTCAATTTTCCCAAATCCTTAAAAAAGCGGGGGGAGGTATAATAAAGTAGGGAAGCATACCCCTCTTTTGAGGTAGCTTACAGAGTCTTGAGAAACCTGAGAAATGGACCCGTCTGGCCCAGAGAGACCTCTAGAACAAAGCCCTTTCTCTGCATCACCTGTCGATACCAATTCATTATCACAGCGACACAGGCACCGAAGGCCACAGTCAGTATGCTCGGGATTGAGCCTCAAGACACAAGGAGGGTTCACAACAGAGCCACTCAGCTCTGCCCAGGCAGTGTGCTGTGTCAAAGATGAAATCAGTAGCAAAAACAGTGAGGAGGTTTTATGTGGAGGGATAAACCCAAAGAAATCCTCACAATTGCTGCTAAAGTGAGAAAATAATAGTGTAGGTAGAGCTTAAAAACTAAAAGGGTGCTAGGGTAAAACTAAGATACTAAATACGTTTTTATTACACATGCTATAAATATGTTTTATTACAGGAATAAAACATATCTCTAATAGGACTTTTCTTGGACTAACTATGGGATAAATTTTCTGAGAGTTTAGAACTCAAAAATCAGTTTTATATCACGAAACAAAATGGGTAGATAGTGGTTTTATAAACTACTCCAATTCATCTTACTGCTTCAGCAATGTACTCCTCACTCCTGTTTGCACTCACTCAGCCTCCCCTCTTCCCCTAACATCCTTCAGAGTTCCATCAACAGCATAGTGGGTCTTGTGTTACACAGTGCTATTTACAAATAAATATCTTGACAAGACAGTGATGCATCTAAGTATCTTCAACATGGATAACCTGTTCGTGTTCTTTGCTTGGTCCTCAAAAAAGATGTTAATAGTATAGGCAGAAAAGCAGGCAGACAGGTTACCTGGTCAGTGGGTTGCCACTGAAGTCAGCTATCTGTAGTGCTTTACAGAATGAGATGCTTTCTGGGATTTCAGGAATATCTGTAGGAATAAAGAAAATGTCTATCATTAACCATGCTTGTTACCAATTTTCATCATCCTCAAAAGAAACCAACAGGCACAAAAGATTATATGAAAATTATTACCTCATTCAAATGTGGCATGGCTTTCTAAAGTGTTTGTCTACCATTAGTTTTATTTGCATTCTTAATAGAAGACATATTATTAACAGAAGCACAAACAAAAATATTTAAAACAGCCTCCACCACCAAGTCCCACCACCCTAACAAATGTCACTTAGGGCATTCTGTAGTAACTTCCATTATGCCTTCTTTTCCTTAAGTTTTTGCATGGCTGCATCAGTACAAAATATTCCAGAGCACATGTTTTTAAATTATATACTTTCACCTAGTTGTAAACATAACAATTTGGAAAATACAGAAAAGTCCAAAGAACACTTTTATCACCCAAGAAATAATGTTATAATCTGATACATGTTTTTAGTTTACACTCATACACACACACAATACATATGCACAGAGTGTATGTATAAATATGCTTTAAAATAGCAGGTTAATACTGATTTTTTTCACTGTACATTATTTTATAAATTTTCCATTATTATTTTTCCAAATAGTTTGACATTCTTAATGCTGAAAATTCCCACTGTGTATTTTTTCATACCTCATTTAGTCAATTCCCTGTTGTTGGACATTTAGATTATTTCCAAGTTCCTAATGTTGTAACTATATTAATGTCCATTTCTGATTATTTTCTTGGGCTAACTTCCCAGAAGTGTAATTACTGTGTCAAAGGCATTAACATCTCCACAGCACTTAATAAATATCATTAAATTGCTTTAAAGAGGGTCAAGTTACACCTATTTACACTTCCATCAGCCTGTATATGGTGTTCAATTCAGCATCTCTCCCCCTCTGGCTTTTTCCTCTTAAATTAAATAAAAAATGCCAATGTTATTAGTAAAGTGCTCTGGCAACATTTTGGTTCATATTCCTTTTATTACTAATGCTGAATATCTTTGCCCATGTTCACTGGCAACTAAACATTGTGATTTTAAAATGACCAAAATTGTTACTTTAAATCTCAGTTTCTTTTGGTACAAAACCTGAGATTATAACTTTCAGGATTTTAAAAGGTTAGTTCATAGTGCTGAATTTCAAAAACATATTTATTTTGGAAATATTAATATAAAGACAGGCTAAAATAGAAAAGGTTCTCCTGGTGTCATGCTGTTTCTTCCACTAGTATGACAAATGCAAGCTGAGCCAAAAAACACCTAATATTTCTAATGTGGGGGTGGCAGAGAGAAGGAAAAAATGGGTGCCCTGGTCCAACAATCTCAAAGTAATCCAGAAGCTACATAAAAGTTCTTAGTTCAAAGTTAAACGCTGAAAACATTTAGTTTATGGTAACATTATCTTCATACTATTCTCAGCATTGCATAGTCTTATAAAGTAGTGAAGAACACACACTATGATCTGAAGTTCATAAATGTAATAGCTTCTCTAACACACACAGACAGGGCTTGTTCCTAAATATATCTAGAATGGATCTTTAAAGCAAACATTTGTGGGTCCGGAGGTACAAATGCAGCAGCAGGCCCCCTTTCTACACATTACCCTTTTTAATCTTCTCAAAAATAAATTACTTCACTTTCATTGTACAAAATGGACATTTTGCACAGAGATGAAGTGACTTGTCCACTGCTACAGGCTTGTTTCACTGAGTGCTGACACACTACCATGCTTAAGAATGAATAAACATATGTAAATCTACTACAGGATTAGCACTGATACCCAGGCAAATGTGGCAACATCACACAACAGATTTTCCTCAGTCTGAAAGGTGCTGGTCAGTCTGTGCACTCCATGACAGTCCCTCTTCGGCCACTTCTTCAGGTCCTAATGAGCAGTTGTTTTTGTGTTTGTTTTTTAAGATAGAGGACTGGTCATCTCATAAGTGCCAAGAAAGTGGATCAAATTGGACATTAAGATATAAATTTTCCAGTTTGTTGTTCCACCCAACAGGGGGAATAGCGGAGAATCAGGAAAACAGAAAAAGAAAGGTGTGTCAATTAGGTAGAGAACTTTGGGCATCAAAGTATCAGAAACATCCTTGATGCTTGAGAAGATGATCCAACAAAGCAGACAGCTGCTGTAGGAAACTCCAGTCTGGGTTGATCTGGAATTCAGGGATTTGAGGATAACAAAAGCAACTGCCAGAGAACACAGTTGGACTCAATCCAGGAGCTGACCAAGAGGTTGGTTTAATGAAAGGCATTCCCTCCTTAGGCTAAACTGTTTGTATACAAAGGAGAAGTAGCAGATGAGCAAACAGAACATAGGTCAAAAGATCCAAAGATCATTTCTTTCTACTATATGCATGTTCCCAACTTAACCAAAAAGAATTTCTTTGTGCCCCGCCCCCCCCCAAAAGAGAGTTTTAGACAAAGAAGGTAATACTGTGGTTTGAAGAATTCTGATTTAAGCAAGTTACTAGCAATTGTCTGAATGGAAAACTAACAAATGGGAATATCTACTCAACCTAAAATACCCAGCTAAAATGTCACTTCCTAGGGGACACCTCCTTGGGCCCCATGATTATGTAGGAGTCCCCTGTTCTCAGGTTCCTCCAGCCTCACCTTTTGTGAGATCAGTTACCATTTTAATTAAATAACTGCTGGTGATACTCAGTTTCCCTGACTAAATTCTAAACTCACTGGAAAGAAAAGCTGTGGAGTCCTTGTCTACTACATAGTTGTTTCCCCCAAGCTGATAAAGTATTAAGCATAAGCAGGCAGTCTACATAAAGAAACAAACAAAAACTGTGATCATACTTTTCATTAATTCGGGTTGGTCTTGTCTCACATATGCTCAAAAATAAAAGTATATAATTTGGTATTTTAAAAAATGTCTAAGAGTGATGGTAAAATTAATCTCCCTACAACTTTCTTAAAATAACCTTTAATTTGGACCCACTCTTAGCTATCATTATTTATTAATAAATTGCTTTGAATTGTACTTCTTTTTTAAAAAAAAACCTGTAGTTTACCAATATAGCCATTACTATAGCCTGTATACAGGAAATTCACAATCTGCCCTAAACTGGTTGAAGGCAAAAAGTCACCAACACCTCAGGAGACAATAATCCACTACCTTCTAGAAGCCTAAGGGCTTCTGAGACAGAACACAGTTTTCACCACAGCTTTTGTCATTTAGATAGTGATTTGAAAGAACATTTCCTATCCTTCTTTATAGTCATTTCAGCATCTATTTTGTGTAGTATCTATTTTGAACACATCAAGCTGAGATTCCAACTTCCCCAAGCCTCTACCCCAACAAAGTCACACATAGGCTTGGTCTACAATGTTCTACAAGGAAGCAGGGACTCTTCCCATAGGTCTAGAATCCTCAAGAGGAACCTCACCCTTCCCTGAAAAGCTATCACAGCTTATAGGCCCTATTGCAGCGGAGTGTGCGGACTTAGTGATCACTGAGGTTCCTTCTAAGTATGTGTGAGTTTAAAAACTTCCAGAGCATTTCTTCTCATGGAGTTCTGTGAGCAGACAGTTTATTTTGTCTATGATCTACTCCCTACACTCCGCCCCCATGCATAGCACAGTAAGTTCTTTCTTTTTTAATATATATTTTTACAATCATTTTTCATTTTTGCACAATGTATGCATTTTCATTTTGGTTATAGTCCCCATACAATTCCTATCTCCCTTGTTTTGATCCTACTCCTTCCTCCTCCCCCCACCCCATAGTGTGTCTCTGATTTATAGTTGCTTCTTGATTTTGATTTTTACTTTATTAAAATTAGTCTTTTTCCTGGTCCCTTATTTAGGTTTTCTAGATCCCTGCTATGAGTAAAACCATCCAGTATTTTTCTTTTTCTTTCTGGTTTATTTTGCTGAGCATGATCCCTTCCAGCTCTATCCATGTTGCTGCAAATTGCATGAGTTTATCTTTTTTGATTGCTGAGTAATGTTCCATTGTGTATATATACCACATCTTCTTGATCTAGTCATCTATTTTTGGGCATTTGGGTTGTTTCCATAGCTTAGCTGTTGTAAATAGTGCTGCTATAAACATAGGAGTGCAGGTGCCCTTTTGAATTAATGTTTCTGTGTCCTTTGGATAAATACCTAGGAGTGGAATTACTGGATCATATGGAAGTTCCATCTTTAGCAGGTTGAGGAATTTCCACACAGCTTTCCATAGTGGTTGGACCAGTTTGCACCCCCACCAGCAAGGCAGGAGAGTTCCTTTTTCTCCACATCCTCACCAACATTTGTTGTTGCTAGTTTTTTTAATATATGCCATTCTCACAGTAAGTTCTTTCTGAAGAAATTACTCACTGGCATTTCTTCTTGTCCTGTATAACTATATCTTCTCCAGGTTTAAAACTTATCGATAATGATGCTAGTAAGTTACAATACTAGTATTGCTCCACTGAGAGTATTATGAAATGCTAAGCAAAACAAGACTTTAAGTCTTACATATTTTTGTGGCTACTCTCTAAGGTGCTCTAATTAATGACAGTGTTTGGAAACAAAGTTAAGGGAGATGAGACATGCTTGAAGAAAGCGATTACCTAATTTGTCTTTTTGTACAATGGCAAAGACTAACATTTTAAACCTCAGGACATATTATTTGTAAAGTTGGAAAGCTGAAATTTTATTATTGAAAATGGGGCAAGAGCTATGTAAGTAATCATCTACACTTATTGCATCACCCCTACTCTCCTCACAGCAAGGTGGCTTTGTCAGCTTAATTAGTACAAGGTGCTAACAAGGACAGAGACCTGGAGTCTATCCAAGAGTAGACCAGCTTCTTTCCCATGGTTCCAGCCTCACTGCACTTTGAGCACCCTTAACCTACAAACTTGTGATCAAAAAAAAAAAAACAAAACAATGGCAGCAGTTGAATTTTATTGAGCACTTACTAAGTGTCAAGAAAGGGTAAGGGCCTAGTGAGTTTGTGCAGCAAAAAGGCAGGAAGGCCAGAATCTGACCTGAG